GATAGTGCAAAGAAAAGAATTCGGTTACAGTGCTTTGGAGAAGAAATAGCATAGAGCAGAAGAGTATAAAGTCACTGAATAGCCGCAATCCAATAGTTCTTTTCTCTGTTTTGATATTCATAGAAGCCAACAGAGTTCTTTCCATGTTTAGCCGCAAGCCAATTGTTGTAGGAAATCGGCACAGTGCTTGCATTCACTTTAGCTTTATTCGGTACATTGCTTGAAGAGGTTCTTTGGGTTACGGTAGACAGGGGCTTTCGGCACAGTGTTTTAAACACTGTAGACGGCATCGGATATTTGCTGGTAGAAGAGCCGCACAGTTGTGAATAGTTGTTCGACACGTTACTGTGAAGAAATTTCTGTGAAACCGAAATTAAAAGGAAGAAGTGTTGGATGCAATCAGAAGATCCAATAATAAGTACAAGTTTGAGATTTTAGAAGGAAGAAGATTCATTTGGTTATATGAAGATGAGAGGTTACGATGTAACTTATAATCGTAGAAGACTTCGAAGTAGAGAATTGGAGACACCTCGGCAAGAATGTAAGTAATGCATTTATATTCAAATTTAAGAACTTTCATTTATAGGCATGAAGGTTGATTTTGAATGCATTAAAGTAAAATGTTATAAATTTGTTTAATGTATAGCAAGGATTTTTAATTCAAGCTTCCAGGTATGAACAACCGGATACATAATGAAATCAGGTAAGTGTAAAACAAGGTTTAGTATGTTAATCTAAATATTTTCCGATTTGATATTGTTTCGGAAAGATGTCAATTTACTTGCATATGGTATGCATTTTACTTGTACACCAGTGATCACAACAATGATTATGAAAGAATGCAATAACTTAAGCATGACTAATGAACACTGAAAAGCTTTATGAATATCAATTGAAAAATAAAGTTTGGCTACAAATGATGTATAACTGTAATTACAGGTGGGGCAAAAGGGACCCCAAGGGCAAAAGGGACCCTAAATAATATACTTGTATTACAGGAGGGGCAAAAGGAACCCCAAAGAATATGATACCTGCATAGCAGGTGGGGCAAAAGGGACCCCTAAGAGGCAAAAGGGACCTCTATGTAATTCAATGGCGATAATGCCTGGTTTACCTGGGCTCCATTAAATAATGTTATGAAAGTGTAGCCAAATCTTTTATAGATTAAAATTGATATTCATTGCAGAATTCGAAAGAAGTAAAGAGTAAGGTTAATTATGAATTTATGATGATTCCAATGTTTGATTAATTTCAATGATTATATTTTTATGTTAATTAAATTGCAAAGCTTACTGAGTCTCATAACTCACCAATATTTTCTTATTGGGTGTTGTTACAGAAAAGGGCAAGGAGAAAATTGTTGCAGAATAAATTATGCAAGTTATTTCTTCTTTTTATATTAAAGCTATCTTTGTTAATGAATCTTTTTGTAAGGTATGAAAACATTTCAGAAATGGATTTTATTTGGATTTCCTTTGTGGCTCTATAAGTATGTTTATTGAGGTTCTAATTTTTAAGTTGCTTATGTTGATGCATAAATTGAATTATGGTTGGATGATTTCTATGATCTTCTAAAAAGAGAAGTTGTATTAAATATTTTGAAAAGAAAAATGTTTATGTTATGTTTGCTACACTTTACAGTATTGTTTAGGGGTACTGTGGGGTGTTACAAAGTTTGCTCACTAGAATGCACAACAAAGATTATAATATTCACCAATAAGACTGCTATATAAAATTGAAATCTTGAAGGATTAGATCAAGAAGGGACATAGATCAAAGGTTGCCTAGCTCGACATTATTTATGAAAAATTTGTGCAATATAGATTTTATTTAATAAATTATTAATTGTGCAACATAGGTTTAATGCCTTATGATGTAATTGGCGAATACAAATGGAGAATGCCTTATTGATATAGGCAACCCACAATTGTTGAGATAAGCTTATTGATATGATGATGCTGCTCTTCCAAAATGCCTTTATATGAGATTCTGCAGCTCTCACTTGCTACGCCAGTCTAATGCAACAGTTAAAGGAAATGAACACTATTGTTACTAAATTGATTCAGAATATTTTATCAGGTGCTCATGTGTTACATATTTATTATTTTTTTTAATGCAGTTTACTCCAAAGCAAGGTGGTACTCCTAAAAGAAATGAGATAGTCTTCATATCACCAACAGGTGAAGAAATCAAGAATAGGCGACAGCTGGATCAATATTTGAGGTCGCATCCAGGAGGCCCGCCTTCTTCAGAATTTGATTGGGGAACTGGTAATCTCACACTCCTTCCTTGTCACGTCATGTTTTCATGTGACGCTGGATGTACCTACAAAAGCATTTGGAACTTGATTTTTTTAGGTCGATCAGGTTAGGAAATCTTAATTTGCTTGCATTGATGGGCTTCTTACAGGTGATACTCCCAGACGGTCGGCAAGAATTAGTGAAAAGGTGAAGACACCAGAAGCAGAAAAGCCAAAGAGGGCTAGCAGCTCTGGCTCGCGAAAGAGTACAAAAAGAAAGAAAAGTATTGAAGATGATGGACACAAAGTAGAAGGAGAAGGATCAGGCTCGCTAAAGGGGACCAAAAGAAAGAAAAGCACTGAAGATGATGGACGCAAAGCCGAGGGAGAAGCTTCTGCTGCAGAAGGAGACGGTCCCAAAGATGTTGATATGGAGGGGACTGAAGCCACCGAGCATAATAAATCCAAAGAAGCAGCTTCCGGTGAAGGAATTCATTCTTTAGCTGAGCAAGAGTCGGCTGACAATACAAAGGAAACTGTAGAGCAGGATGTGGAGCAGTCTGAGGGAAAAGGAACAGAACTTGAACCAGGGAGTGAAGCTAAGGAAAATCAGAATGATACTGAAGTTCCTCCACCAGCTTCTAATTCTGATAAGGCTGTTAAGGGTGATGAGGTTTCTGATTCTAAAAAGGATGAAACTGCAGTCTTCAAGAAAGATGCAGAAATCTTGTCTGAAAATGGTGAAGAGAAGAATAAACAGGTAAATGTCGCCCCCAAGGAAAAACTTGAGCTAGGGAAAGAAGTTCAGGAAAATCCAAATGATAATGTTGCTTCAACAGCAGCTTCTGATTCTGAAAAAGCTGCTTTAATTGAAAGGGATGATAAAGTTCCTGCTGCTGAAAAGGATGAAGTTTCAGAGAGTGGTGGAAAGGATGAACAACTGGAGCCAGGGAAAGAAGTCAAGGAAAATCTAAATGTTACTGAAGTTTCGCCACCAGATTTTGATTCTGAAAAAGTTTCTGCTGCAGAGAAGGATGAAGTTTCAGTTTTCAAGAAAGGCGCAGAAATCTTGTCGGAGAATGGCGGAAAAAAAGTTGAAGTGAATGCTGCCTCAAAGGACAACGTCCTCCATAACAATGATGATGGTAAGACGCAGTTCGAATCTTTTCCTTCCAATTCGTAAAACCAAAATAATCGTGTTTATGCTTAGATGCTACAGTTTCATCTGTAAACTTTTATTTGTAGACATGGAATTCAATGTGTATTAGAAGAATAGGTTAATATTTAGTGTTATCCTGTATCATGTTTCTCACCTGTCTTCATTTACATTCAGTTATCCGTTACTGATATCTGTAAGTAACAAAAACTCATCAAATCTTCAAGTTTGTAGCCGTCCCTAACAATGTGTGTAAATCACTATGAAGTTTAGCTTAGAATATTGTATTATTATTAGTATTGCACTTGCTCTTAAGCTTACACTGGTTGCTACTCTATTTGATAATGATACTGTGCAGAAGTAGCAGCAGCTCATACAATTGAGAAAAGAGAAATTGTCTCCAAATTCAGTTTTATAAATTATCTCCACATCTATTTGTGCTTTAACAAATAACAAATTGAATAACAACCCCCCAACCCAATCTGACACAAATCTCATGATCTTAGCAACAACAAAGGGAACAAACAACTAAACCATTTTCATTACACAAACTGCAATTCCCACAAACATCTCCTACATTATCATACATTTTTCGACTGCCGTCGCAGCGCTCGCACACCAAAAACTTGGCTCCGCCGCACCTCCAACACGGCACTCCACCGCTCTGGTCCCTCGGCATCTCCTGGAGGACTGGCATCAGTTTCCCTTGCTCATGCAGCCCCAGCACTTCCTCAGCACCTCCTATGTATCTTCCATCAATAAATAACCTCGGCGGGATTGCCCCGAAACCTAGCAATCTCTTCAACTCTTCCCTGAACTCTTGGTGCATTGACACATCCCTTTCATAGAACAGCACCTTGGAGCTCTCCAATAGGTACCTGATGGCACTGCAGCCCTCGAATGTCTTTCTCACCCCTCGTAGAGATGTCGAGTAGAAGATCACAGTTCCGGTGCCCCCAGGTGGGTTCTTTTCATCGAATACCTTCAACAGGTCATTGATTTTGGGGATCTTTATGGGAGGTTTTATCTCTTCTTTCACCTCCTTTTCTTCGAATTGCTTCGATTGTTCATAGACTCTCAAATAGTCCTTCACCGCCTGATCGAAGGCTGCGAGGAGGTTGGGGTCAAATAAGGTTGGAGAATTGAAATCGGGGCGGCGATAAGGGTGGAATTTGTGACTGTGCTCCTCATTACTCTGCTTCCTGCATGGATTTGGGTTCCTTTTTGTTGTTGATGCAGGTTTGGCGTTCTCTTTATCTTCCTCTTCCTCATCAAAATCTTGCATCAGCTTGGCTGCTTCAATGATCCGAGGCTGATCTTCCCTGCAATCGAGGAGCTGGGAGCTCGGCGGCGGAGGGGAATTGAAGAAGCCATCAGAGGCTTTGAGCTGGAAAATGCGGCCTTGGTTCAGCTGCATTTGGGGGATTGATCTGAGCTTATTCAACATTCTTCCCTTCATTGTCTTCATCTCCAATGTTTTTTTTTTCTCTACCAGCTAGGGATTAGAGGAAGGAGATATTGATTCGTTTTAGATGACAGATCCGGGATGGAAATGGTATTGATTGATGGAGCCGAGGAGACGCTGGGCAGCTGGGCTTTCTTTCCTGACCCCACCCTTCTTTTGTTCTGTTCCTAGCTTTGATTGGTCTGTAGTGCTAACGGCTATAAAGTCGGGAAAATTTTGAATTTTAAATAATTTGGAAAGAGGCGACGGCGCAACGGTCATTATTCATTTAAGCTAACCTTCCACTTGTCGCTTGTTTTTTAATTGTTAGAATTTTTTTGCAATGTTTATATACAAAATCCTAAAGCCTTTTTTTTTGGGCAAATTATTGGGTCAGGTGACCGGAGCCA